AGTCAAGAATGAAGGCTACAAGAGTGACGAGGAATCCTTGGTTTCTATTCAGTCGAATGACTCTGTGTTTGACAGCAACTAGATGTTGGTTGTCTATATTGTAGCATGCAGATTAATATATAAAACAATGATTCTATTTGCTGTCCAATGCTACCTATTCATTAATTCATTAACTCTCCTCATCTCGTGGATACCCGTCATGGTAAGTTGGCCCACCTTCAACTACAGTTGCTGGTGCACGGAGCTTCTGCTTTGTCTTGGTTCTTGAATTCTTCTTCTCAAACCTAAATTGCTTTCTCTCTCGCTTTTTCACCTCTTGGTAGAGATAGTATCACGAATACACTTTGAGCTGTATTTCTCTGTATTCGACTCTGGGACTGATACAGCTGATCGAGGCTTGATCTTCTCTCCTGTTTCAGGGTCAATTTCAAGATGCTTCTTCGTCATCGATGTCTTTTTCAAGAAAGCGGTTTTGCCTCGGATGCGATGCCATGGGAACTTGCACAGGTGGATTGTCCTTTCGTATTTGGAGGATGATTGCCATATCATGTGCCATAAGCCTCACAGTCAACAAGGAGACGATCGTAGTCTCTCAAAACAGACTTGATGAGATTGGCCATGTTTGTTTTGAAAAGGGCAATGGGAAAGATTTGCCACTCAATGCGCCTTTGGTGAACCTCAACCGGATCGGAAAACTGCGTCACTTCTCCTTCAATAATGGCACTGAGAAGGAGCTTCCTTCCTTCGCTATCCTTCATTTTGGGGTGTTTGTCTTCTTTGTTGGATCATTGCAAGATTTGATGAGGTTCTCCGTATTGCGTTTGAACTGTTTCCACTCCCATTTCTTGTACTCATCATGGCTTTGATGCAGCTGCCGGAGGTCGGTCTCTTGGGTGATATTGCCGCAGAGTACCTGAAGTCGGAGGAGCTTCTTTGCCTCGCTATCTCTCCAGGACGCATTGGACGGCTCATCTTGGTGTTGCTGTGCCTCTGCTTGTGCTTGTTGTGGTTGCTGTTGCTGTACGGGGCTGCCTGTCATGGTGATGAATCGGTGATGAATCGGTGATGAATCCGTGATGATTAATGCTGTGATGAATATAATGTGATGATTAATGATGAATTAATGATGAAATTCATCATTTGGCGATGAATTCATGATGAATCAATGATGACGTCAAAAAGCTTTGCCGGCTTCAAACTGACACTTCAGTACCGGTGCTTAAATCTATTGAGTCATAATGACCGCGATTCATTATAGGGGAAACGTTCCAGGGAGCAATTTTACCATGCTATTGCACACCAAGCTAGTGGGGCCTTATTCAGGGCAACCATGCTCTCGAGCCCACTGCGACACTTCCTTGTGCCCAAACTTTGCAGCATCGGCACAGACTCGTTCATCCCATGGACAGCCATGTTCATGAAGATACTTCAAAACATCCAAAATACCACCCTGAGCAGCATTTTCACAGGCTTGTTCATTCCATGGGCATCCATGTTCATGAAGATACTTCAAAACATCCAAATGACCACCCCGAGCAGCAGCCGCAAAGACTGTTTCATCCCATGGACATCCATGTTCATGAAGATACTTCAAAACATCCAAATGACCACCCCGAGCAGCAGCCGCAAAGACTGTTTCATCCCATGGGCATCCATGTTCATGAAGATACTTCAAAACATCCAAATACCACCCAGAGCAGCATTTTCACAGGCTTGTTCATTCCATGGCATCCATGTTCATGAAGATACTTCAAAACATCCAAATGCCACCAGCAGCACGCAAAGATGTTCATCCCATGCGACATCCAATATTTCATGAAGATACTTCAAAACATCCAAATGACCACCCGAGCAGCAGCCGCAAAGACTGTTTCATCCCATGGCATCCATGTTCATGAAGATACTTCAAAACATCCAAATGACCACCCGAGCAGCAAGGCACAAGATGTTTACCCATGGCACCATGTTCATGAAGATACTCAAAACATCCAAATAACCACCCCGAGCAGCACCGCAAAGACTTGTTCATTCCATGGGCATCCATGTTCATGAAGATACTTCAAAACATCCAAATGACCATTATAAGCAGCATACATGCAAGTTTCTTCATTCCATGGAGCGCCATTTTCCACCAGATAATTCAAAACATCCAAATGACCATTATAAGCAGCATCACGTGCATATGCCTCTTCGTTCCATGGGCAGCCATTGTCACGGAGAAATTTTAGCATCTCCAAATTGCCAGAGGACGCAGCCTCTCCACAGGCTTTTTCATCCCATGGACATCCATATTCATGAAGATACTTGAGAATATCCAAATGACCACCCTCAGCCGCATACCATATTGTGTCTTTATCCCATGGGCTGTAGCCATGTTCATGAAGATACTTGATGCATTCTAAATGGCCCTGATTGGCAGCATAATCACATGTCCTACTGCCCCACGGGCAGCCCTTTTCATGGGCATACTTCAAAACATCCAAATGACCTCTTAAAGCAGCACGTGAGCAAGTCTCTTCATCCCATGGACATCCATGTTCGTGAAGGTACTTCAAAACATCCAAGTGACCCTCTCCAGCAGCATTTTCACATGTCCATTTGTTCCATGGACAGCCATTTTCATGAAGATACTTGAGAATATCCAAATGACCACTCAGAGCCGCATAGGAACATGACAATTCGACCCATTGGCAACCATTTTCGTGGGCATACTTGAGAACTTCCAAATTTCCAATCTTAGCCGCACCCCTACATGTCCCTTCGTCCCACAGACATCCATGTTCATGCAAATATTGCAGAACATCCAAATGACCACCCTCGGCCGCACGGGAACAGGCTGGTGCGGCCCATGGACAGCCCTTTTCATGAAGATATTTTAGCATGTCCAAATCGCCAGAGGACGCAGCCTTGGTGCACTACGCTAAAAGCTAGTGTAAAGATCTTTCGAGTGTTTTGAGTTTGAGAGAATGAAAGTTATGAGAGGATTAGAAAGCTATGAAAACTAATCAACGAGAGAGATCATCATAAAAGGATCGTAGATATGACTCGCAACGGAGCTGACAATCTCTATCCGCGGGAGAAACTGTAGAGTTGTGATATGAAGTAAGGTTGCCAGGTAGCAATCCACTACACTCCACGATAAACAAGAAACGGAAACGCGCTGAAAGATTCGTACTAGCATTTCTCTAAGTAAGCAGGTGGCAAGTACGTCCCACGCTGGCTAAATATCTAGAGCGACTTTTCATCATCAACCTAGTACTGAACATAGAGCGGTCATTGAGAACCCTTCCTCAATGACTATTCACGAAAGACTCAGTCATAGAGTCGAACTCAACCTATCATAGGATCGAGTATCGCGAATAAGGCTAAGAGCCGTGTGTTGCATTCGCCCCCTGACAAGGGTCACGGAAGCACGACATCAGTCGGACAAGGAGAACATATGAATTAAAGTGCGGGGCACTCTCCGAATATTGGATGTAGACATGTGCGTCGCACGATGGCAATCTACAAGGGGATCAGGCCTTGTATGGGTGTAAATACCTTATGTTCCAGGTCTGGTAGACTGTGCGCTACTGGCGGTAGTATGTCGGAGCCGTCACAGTGCCATTGTTATTACTCGGTCTGTGTGTAAGGACCTTTGTGCGTGGGCTGACCGTACGAACGGTTCTTATACTGATAATCATCATAGTATCGTTGACATGGTGTTGATGAGGGACCAGTGCCGTGTTCTCCTTATCGTGGTTTTTCTGGATAAGTCGTTGCGACGTTCCTTAATGTATTTCCGGTTTGCTTTGAAACGGATATGGTGAATCTTGTCACGAATGACGCGCTTAACTTGCGACGAAAGTCCAGTTTCATCCCGGAGAGTCTTCTCGACCTCTTCGCGGACTCACGTTCTCTGTCCATGACGACGGGTCATGGATACCGGGTAACCCACGTCTGTTCAGAACGATGGTTACTACCGTCTGCTGTCTTGAGCAGCCCTTGGTAGTTCATTGGTCAATGAATCTACGAAGTTCCTTCCTGTTGGTGGGAAGAGCGATAGCTGGATCGCATCTTTATCTTTTTTGGTTAAGGGGTTGGGCTTTTCTTTTCTCGAAGAAAGTCCAATTGTTAGATACTAAGTTCTTCTCTTCGACGAAGGCCTTGGTAGTGTTGATTTCAAATCCCGACTTTCTGAAGTCTTTGGAAAAGGTTATCCTACTATTCAACGCGATCTCGAGATCGACGTCCGTTAGATGAGTTGATCATCATATATGCACGGACATTTTTCTAAGTCATGCAGGGTGTTTTCATCTTCCTTTTGAAGTGTCGGGACTATTACATAGGCCCATTGGCAACCTCTGGGTACTCGTGGCTTTCCCTGGGAGTGCAATGGGCATTAGTGTTGCTTCGAGTGATGTGTACAGCCGATGTGGTATGTCCCGTGTTAAGGTCGTAGACCTAGGGTTACTACCGCACTTGAATCCATCTGGTTCAAGAGATGGTCCTGTATTTTTTGGGATAGGATAAGGCTTCCAGCTATTAGATCCTTTTGTCGGTTCCTGGAAATCAGAATGAATCGTACAGATCCCTCCTTTCTTGGAATGATAAAGTTGGTGCCGCCCACTCGGAACGTTTCACATTCTTGAAGTATCCTGCCTCGCAGAGAATGTTCACCTCCTTTTAAGGAGTGTTGGTTATGGACCCTGTGA